AGAGAGAGAGAGAGAGAGAGAGAGAGAGACAGAGAGACAGAGTTCGAGCCCTGCTCCTTCTCGCCCTTTATCCTACACCCTTCTACATACCTGTGACCATGCCCAGCCAGGTGTGGTGATTGGTACAGATATTGGGGTCTCTCCCTACAGTGTGCCACTGGGGCTGGGTATTGAGGTTTTAATAGACTCCCACTATTCCCGGTGTCTCTGACACTTGCTTGTGGATAGAGATGTGACCTCTCAGCTGTCTCAGCCTCCACTCCTTTCTTATGAAAACTTGAGCCCATATTAATCACTTACTTTTATAAGTTTTGGGGGTCTCAATGTCTTATCATAGCTATAGAAAAGGAACTAAAGCCAGGTGTGGTGGCAAAAACCTTTGATCCCACGACATGAGATGCAAATACAGGTGGATCTCTGTGAGTTCAAGGCCAGCCTGGTCTACACAGTAAGTTTCAGGACAGCCAGAGTGAAGGAGACTGACCTTGTCTCAAACACAAAACAAAACCACCAGGAGAGACCCAAAGCCCAAAACAATTTATCCTCTCCTCCTACTTCCTCTTCCTTCTTTTCTGAGGTCAAACCCTGGATTTTTCTCAAATAAAGTCACTTCCAGGGATACAATGACAACAACACTGGGGTTGGGATGCAGGAGAGAGATGCTTCCCTTTAAAGCAGAGGCTCTGACCTGCAAGCACCACACAGACTCCCACAGAGTCCAGGCTCTTGTCTCCTGCATGGGGCGCTCACACTGCCAAGCCTGATGCTCAGGAATCTCCCCTGTAAATAGAGACTCTGCTCTTCACTCAGGATCTGTCTATACAGCCTTGTGCTTACACTCAGACTCCTAGTGTTTCATCCCAGATAATCATCTGTGACTCCAGTTGGTTGTGTTTTACAGGGGTGTTCAATCCATAGTCCTGAGATTGTCTGTGTGGACCTGGGTCATTGTCTCAGCACAGTGAACCCCTTCTCCACTGGGGAGAGACTAAGTGGAGAACGAAAACAGCAGGACACTGATCCTGTCTACACTCCATGTTTCCTGTGTCACACACTTCCATGGCACAGTTGCTTTAGTGAATAAACACAGTAAGAGAGGAACTGTAACTAACTATAAAGAAGAATAGTGATGTGTGGAATAAAACCAAACTTATAATTCTGTTGTTTCTGTGCATTTTGATTTGTGTCACAAATACAAGCCACACATAACTGAAGTAGAAAGTGAAAGCAGAGGGGAGTAGGGACTGCTTCCTGCACGGAGAGTCACATATGACACAGTGTGTCAGAAGGACTTGACCAGAGCTGTCCTCAGGCCTGTGCAGTGTGGACACTGGACAGAGGGTGATTCTCATGGTAGAGGTTCACACTGGGAATTGGAGGTTTTATCCTACTGTTCAGTAATGTGGAGAAAAATCAAACTTATAATTATTTTGTTTCAGTGCATTTTGATTTGTGTCACAAATACAAGCCACACATAACTGAAGTAGAAAGTGAAAGCAGAGGGGAGTAGGGACTGCTTCCTGCACGGAGATCACATATGACACAGTGTGTCAGAAGGACTTGACCACAGCTGTAAAAACTCCAGTCACCTCCATGCAGTGTCCACGGCGGCCCCACGCACTCACCGGGACTGTGACAGCATCTGTTTCCGTGAACATTCATTTTAAGTGCTGCGTGTACTTTACCGGAATCCTCAAGCTCTCAGGTTTCATCCTGACGAACCTGACCAGCATTGGCCTTGGGCGGCTCAGGGACACCGGGACAAACCGCGCTGTGTCCCCAGCACAGGGTCAGACAAAGTCTTAGTCCCAGGCGGTGAGGTCCGGGGTGGGGACGCCCAGCGCGGGG